AACAGATCCAAATCATAAATACTACAAAGTTTTTCAAGATGCTTTTTTGCTGGCAATTGGCTCTCTTAGCTGTTATTGAACTGTCCGTGGTGGGTTCGAACAATATCGACATTAAGGTAAGGAAACTCTATAAAATCGAACGGTTGTAATAATCAGTACTACACTGAGCCATTTTGTTACCTACTACAGGGTGTCCCAAGAGTTCGTTCCTCTAATTTCATGCACTGTAACGTTTGATCAAAACATTATTTTTACTTGGAATTTTCAGAAGATGTTTATTTCTCTATTAAGTACACGTGTTCAGAATTTCAGTAACTAGCATGCCCTTTTTGTTTTTTTTGTTTTTGTTTTTATCACATTCTCTAGCCGTTGCGATATGAATTGGAATACAGCGTGTAGACCCACAAATGATCCATTTTGAGCTTTTTTATCACCTGATGCGCAGGATCCAGTTTAACACCCAAGCAATATTTGTTTAGTTTAGGCAGCTGAAAAAAAATTATTTTGGGCATTCCTCCAAAAAAAAAAATCATACTGGCCCCCTTCCACAGCAACGCCTTTGTAATTCTTTACAAATTTGAAACGAGCTGGGCTTTAATTGGCAGACTAAGCAGAGGTTTTTTGCCATCTCAGGGGCCTCTAATTTTAAACATTTCAAACAGCTTTTCATGACCCCTTTATTTGGCTTGCTAACTATGTGAGACTGAGCTTCCTTGTCGAGTCCCCTATTTTGTATCTAGCCTTCTTTAAAACTATTTTAGCTGCTTTATTCAAGGCTTTTGGTCTTCCCCTTAGTTTCTTGCCTTCAAAACCTTTATTTCGGCTCCATGATCATTCTATACCATCCAACATTCGGATTTTTCCAGTTTTTTAGCAATTTCTACAACAGATAAGCCAGTAAATCGAAGTATACAGGCTTATGCTTTCACGCAGCTGAACGTTTTTGCTTTAAGGGGGTTTATCTTTCGTGATATTCACAAAAAACAAGGAAGGAGTTCGAGCGATTTGGGCCATGAAATCCAAAAAATGTCTGGCTGGAAAATATAACCGCGCTCGCGCACCTTTGGCGCGGAAGTACACAAATCGAATATTCGAGTCAAGAGATGGCACACCAAGTATGAAAATAGTGAATTATTATTGAAATACTCAACTTTTGTTAAAACAATTTGCTTACCAAGTCCAATCGTTCTGAAATAAAGACTTATAAAGTAGAGGAACGAACTTTTGGGACACCCTGTGTACACCATTGATCGTACTTGTCAGCCAGTCTTTGTAGGTCGTCCATGCCTTTGATCTTGATCGGTCTAGCTGTCGCATCCTTTCTCAAGTAGACCACAGAGTTCTTGGCCTAACAATACTGGTAATGATGCTGGTTTTTAAATTTCTTCGCTTCACAGAGGATCGATTGCATCTTTGGCGTTAAATGGTCAAAAATTCTGACTTCAGACAGGAAAGCTTGATCAGGAAGACCAATAGCAGAAGGGTTCACGGTGCTGCCTGCATCTTTTCGACATTCCATAACACGTTCCTTTGCGAGACGCTGTTCCGCCACAAAATGTAATAGTAACGCAAAATGTAATAATATTTGACGCAAAATTAGCCTGCGTGGCAAGCGTTTCCATTTGGTCTGGTTTCGGAGCAAAGAAAGACCGGTTTTGGCCGCGCGAGAAATGAAACCAGAGCCATTTTTCGCGCGGTCTTTGACTGTCGTTCCTCGATCTTTGCTCCTACACGGCAAGGAAACGCTTGCTACGCAGGCTAACGTAAAATGTAATAACTTTGTTAACGCAAGATGTAATACCATTTTCATTGACCTGTAAACAACGTTGAGATGGGTTGGAACACAACATGTGCTTTGTTGCATTTTAGCTAAGGGTTGACCACTTCAATTATTTGTTTGTAGATATCTGCTTATACAATTTATGGCATCAAAAAATAAGGGAGTACGTCATGACTGAGCTTGCCTTCATAATCAATTGCAAGGGATTATCCATTCATCATAACAAATCTCTTTTGAGACTGATCAACCGCTTACAGTTTTATTAGTAACGAGCAGTAATAAAATTTTGTTAAATTTTGTTAAACAGAAACTTCAAGTATGTTGTAATAGAAACTCAACTAAAGAACTGTAACTGTCAACTGTAACAGTGCACTGGCAAGGAAGAAAGTCAAATTTGTTATACCAGTTGTTTGATGTTCTTTTTTTCTTTTTCATCAGGGCTTCATTCAAACTACCCACGCTGAACTGGGCACCCCTGACTAAATATTGTTTAAAATAAAATAAGACAAACGTAAAGCAAGGGCCATTCATACACAGACCTACGGCCTGGCCAGTACCTCACGCATGCGTACAACCATATCACCCAGGCAGAGGCAGCCATGGACAGCTTTTCAGCTATATGTGTGCTCCTTGCTTTATTTGCTTAAGGGCCTGTTTGAGTGTAGGTTGGGTCCCCAGGTAGGTAAGGTAACCTGCCTAGGTGGGGTAACCCTCCTGTGCATATAATGTCTCATTTTAATTTGATCACGTGTACATAATAGGTGGGGTGAACCACCAAATGTTATGGGCTCCTGACCTCACCTATCTGGGGTCCCCCACCTCCATGTAAAGAGGCCCTAAATTATAAGGCTGAAAATGGCTTGTGAAGCGTTAAAAAGCATGTACCTTTTACAGTTAAGTTAAGGCTGTACATTTTTGTTAAGCGAACTTGCATATCTCAGTTATATTGACACACACTTTACGAACCTCGCAGTGATAGCTGGCCACTAAATATAATGTTATACGCACTGATAATATTTGTCATTATGTTACAACCGTACAGTCTTGATGAAATATTTTAATTTTAAGCAGAGAGTAAAAACTAGTCGGTTAATTACTTGGCCAATCAAAAGTCTGATCGTTCGAAATGATGCAATTTTTCTTTTGTCTTTTTCTAACCTTACTGAAGACTTCCTGCAGTAGTGTGTGATTGAACATGTGCTTCTGCAAATAAAGGTCTTGCAGGACCAAAAGGGGAAAAAGAACCAATGAAATTAATTAGAGGTTTGTAAGTGTTATAAATTAAATCCGTGTTGCCGATAGCAACGCGTCCCCTAAATTCCCCAAGGGTATTTTGCATTCTAGCGCTATATTTAAAAATTCAGTTTGAGCTAGCAGTGGACATGAACAGAGCAATTCAGATTTAGAAACGAGACCCGGAGATTCACGCTAGTGTAAGTAGTTTTTTTCTAAGAGTTTTTTCATCCTTTGAGCGAATATCTTATCAGCATACTTGGGTTTTTCCTTTTTCAGCGAATCGTTCTGTGAATGACACTATTAATCCTCGAAATGTAGAAGTGAAAGAGGCGAGCCGATTTCGACGCGTGAATGCTAATTAACTTGAACTGTTAGAATACTGAGACACTAAGAATTAAATAATGAATCTTGAAGAACAGCGAAAAGACGACAACAGTAGGAGCTGCGTAATATCTCGGGAGGGGGCTTGCTTCACGCAATTTTTGGTTTGCGACCACGTCACAAGGCGGCCATGATGGTGGTACCTTGGTGGTCAATACAATAGAATTTTTTTTTTTGAAGTATTTATATACAAATAGAGTTTAGTTCCCAGAGGAGAGAAATGCTTTTGTTCTTAACCGCCAACATGGCCGCCAGCAATCACTAATTTAGAAACATGGAGGTCGATGCGGCAAAGATAGTGGGCTTTGCGAAGACGAAAGCTTGTATCGATAAATTCGACCAAATACAAGTCAAGCAAATTGTTTTGAAGGATTCTGAAGGATAACAAGCAAAATAAAAGCGAAAATCGAGGTAAGACAACAGAAAGAATATTTGCTCATTAGAAGTGACGAAATTTGGCAACATATTAGTCAACATCGTACTTCTACCATTGAAAGCCTGAAGATTAAAGTTGAACAGAAGATTTTAGTGACCAAAAAAATCAAATTTCACATGAAAGGTATTTTGTTAAAAATTTAAAAAACTGTTTATTACAATTTTCTTAAATTATATAAAGTTGGCTTCCAAAAACGAGGACTCGTAATTGTAAACTATGTGCAAATTCATAAGAAAATCTGATGATTGGATTTTGCATAAACCTACTGAATTAACAGTTTTAGGCTTGTTTTAAACATCCATGTTGCCATGTCAACGATCGAAATCTTACGTTTAACTAACGTAATGTCTTATAAATATATTTTGTCTTCACCAAATTTGAGCTTTATACCGGCTGAAGGAGTCTTAAGTAACACCCCAATGAACAGTAGCGACTCACAACCTACCAAACTGTCTTCAGCCAATGAAAAGATCGACGTTTGAACTGGGCCTCTGAGACATTTAACACTAAAATGTCAGAAGTTGTTTGAACTCTTACCACCATTTAACTGTGTAAATAACATAAACGGTAAACGTTAATCAGACCCTCGAAATATCTGGGGTCTGTCTGTAAATTTTTCAGCTCGCCTTGAGTACGCAGCTAGTTTCCGTTTCAATCATGTATAAGGAACGGGAGGCTTCTTCTCTTGACCAATACTTTCATTGATGGGGCTCTCTTTTAAGTGAGTATCTAGTAAGTAGTAGCTAGTAGCTATCTGTTATGTTTCAATACATAAAATTCATGTTTATTCTAAATGAATTGGATATGTCTGTCTCAGTGGTAATCAAAATTTGTATAGGTAATAGCATGATTTGTAGTGATATTTGGCATAAATACCACGAGTGATATATCGAAATTGTTATACGTAATTTCACGAGCCGTCAGGCGAGTGAAATTTGAGACAATTTTGAAATATTACGAGTGGTATTCATGCCAAATATCACGTACAAATCATGCTGTTATTTGTTTATACTACTACCCGCAAAAGGTTTGTAATTTTCACATGTAGGTATTTCAAATTAAGCTGAAATACCACTGCTCTAAGCCAATCAAATTGCAGAAATTTCTCATGTAGTAGTATAAATTGGATTATTGCATGTAATGACCTGAAGCTTTAACTATGTTAGCTTATTCAGCATCAAGCAAGTCTTTGACAAACAACAATGACTGTTCGAGTTCTTTGACAAACTCCTCTTCATGTCTATAACAAGGGTGCTTAGGATTTGCATTCACTGTGATTGATATCGCATTTCTCCCAAACATATAATGCAATGCCATTGATCTATCTGGCAGAATACACTTGATCCCTGGCCTTCCAATAGCCTCGATCTCAGGATACCAACATGGATTAGACGTCACGTTTTCAGCAACTTGAGGTGGCAGTATGTTGAGCAGCGGTGATCTGAGTAAATCTGCAACAGCTTGCTTAAACCTCCTCTTGATCTGTAGTTGTGGAGTATTCCTAAACGGAAGGCGGTTTGGCAGTCCCAAGTTTCTGTAAAGAGCGTCAAGCTGCCAGAGGTTAATTTGGCCTTTCTTGTAACGCAAGACCTCATCTTTGTAACTTTCAATAGCTTTCTTCAGCAGAGATTTAAGCAACACACGTTCCTGTTTTGTCATGGTTTGCAAGCTCCCTTCTGATTGGCGGGCTTTTTCGATGAATTTTTTCATGTCCGCCATACTGCTGTCCATGAATGTCATTCCACCAAACCGGAAATGCCTAGTACATAAGCCGTAAGGAAACCGGAAATGCTTCGTACATGAAAAATAATGAAACCGGAAATGCCTTGTACATAAATGAGGTAAACCACATATGAGCTGCTTAAGATAAATTACGCTCAATAACGGAGCTTCGAAACCATACATTTGTGAAAAAGGGGGGTAAAGATTGTATCGTTAGGGTCATCCCAAAAAGTTCCAACCTTCAAAATCGCTGTTGAACATAGTAAGCAATAGCCATTCCTAATTCACTGAGTACAGTCGAAACTGCGACCAACTCTCGTAAGTGACCCGGGTGGCCACTCCTATATATGAGAGCAAAGTATACAGAGAATGGTTTTTAAGGGTCTCCAACCTTAAATAGGGTACCATTTTTGCCCTTATCGCATGCATTTTGGTCCCGGTGTGATCCTTAGATAGGATACCTAAAATTCAAGAGCGTAAATGCCTTGCAACACGAGAAACAAATTATTTCTTAAAAGTGATCCATTCCTTAGAGTATAAAGAAAGCGATTTCAGGAGGGTTTGTGTGTTATTTTATGCTTCTCTCTCGTGTAAATAACCACCTGACACATAACTGGATATTTGTCAAGAAAAACGGCTTATATCGCTGCATATTTCAGACCATCCTTTTTTCAAATTTTCTCTTGCGAAGGTCATCCTTCACGACACCTAAAATTATCATTTTCCAGTCATCTTACATTTTGAATAAAAGATGAATTCTTTATTATTTAAAAAATCTATCCACAAAACGAGACTACGGGAATGAGTTTTAACCAGAAAATGCTTTAATTAGGCATCATACAAAACCTCTCGTTGTAGGGAGAGATAAGCACTCTTCTTGAAAAGATGAACAGAAACTTGTCTTACCTTATACTAACGACTTCGTTGACACTCATACATCTTCCCGAGACCTTAGCAAGCGCAAGTTGCATTCCAGCTTGAAAGGCTCCCCCTGGTGTTACACAATGGTCTTTACACATGCACTCAAAACTGAAACCTGCACATATTCTGAATTAGTTGGGGAAAAGGCATGCATAGAATTTCGTGCACAGCGCTTGGAGGCAAATCCACCAGTCAAATTTCACGAGACCCTGAAGAAATCAAAGCTGAAGACATTCTCTGATCTTAACAAGCAGGTGAAATTCAAGAGCAAAACAGCAAACGAGATCATCCTAAAAGCTGATAGAGCTCTTTTTGGTCAAATGGTTATAATTGCAGAAAACAGACAACTTCACATGAGAGATGTCCTCTGTCATCCGTTGGGACCTCTTCCTTGGGCACTATCCACAGTAGATGGGTCACTACGGAAAACCAACAAAGCAGCACTAGCAAAGGAGCTCCAAAAGAATGTACCTGCTGCGGAGGAAATTCCTCAGCCATCTGCATGCATCAAAGATGGCATGGTACTAGTGCAAAGGTTGAAAGGTGACCATAAGAAGTTTTCAGATGTTGCTGACTCCTTGTTTGGAATGGTCCTACATGAGGGTGCATCCTCGAAGAGAATTGACGTTATCTTCGATGTGTATAGAGAGAATTCAATTAAGAATACAGAAAGAGAGCATCGAGGAGCTGAGTATGGAAATGAATTTAGAAATCTCCAACCCGACCATAAGGTGCAGCAGAGGAGAAAGTTCCTCCTGAATCCGCAGAATAAGAAAGCCTTAACAATATTTGTGACCAAAGAATGGAAACAAGACAAGTATAGAAGAAAACTCACAGACAAGGTCCTATTTGTAGCCTGCGAGGAGGAGTGTCACCAAATCTCACCTGAGGCTGCCTTTACCGTTGAAGAACTTAGCTCAACACAAGAAGAAGCTGATACAAGGATTCTTCTTCATCTCTCTCATGCAGCCAGATCAGATTACAGCACATTGATTGTGGCATCAGAAGATACAGATGTCTTCATTCTTTGTATGTCATTCAAGCACTTAATTCCGTCATCAATATTTTTTAAGTGTGGAACACAAACAAGAGTTAGATACATCAGCATCACGAGTATAGTGCAAGCCCTTGGTCAAAATTTGTGCAGCAGTCTCCTTGGCATGCACGCTTATACTGGTTGCGACACCGTGAGTGCTTTTGCTGGGCGGGGTAAGATTGGTGCACTTCGAATCGTTAAAGAACAGAGATCCTTTCAGGAAATGTTTGACCTCTTAGGAGCGGAATGGGAACTCTCAGATGATCTATTTCAGATGCTTCAGAATTTCACCTGTCGTATGTACAGTTCCCGCCCAGGAACAAACAGCATAAATGAGCTAAGATATAGATTGTTCTGTTCAAAGAGAGGTAACATCGAGTCCGACCAACTACCACCTTGCGCTGATTGCCTGTATAAACATGCGTGTCGAGCAAACTATCAAACGGGGATCTGGAGGCGAAGTCTTGAGAACTGCCCTGAAATTCCGAGTCCCTTAAGACATGGCTGGATTCAGGATGAGAACAAGTTAGGGATTGATTGGATGAGTGGTCAGCCAGCTCCTGCAACAGTTTTAGAGCTACTCTCTTGTTCTTGCACAAGATCTTGTAGGCTCCCGAACTGCAGCTGCCTTGCAATGGTCTTAAGTGCACAGACATGTGCCGGCTCTCCGAGTGTGATAACAGGCGAGAAGAACAAGCTGTCACAGTAGACGTCGATGCTGATGATGACGAGAGTGAAGAGGACTAGAATATGTGGTGTGATTCTGTTTCTCAGCATATTTCCCTTGGCTGTCGACATGATTTATTGCCCAGAGAAAGATACAGTCATTGCTAGTCGTTGCTACATTTAAACATATGACTTGCTAAATGTGCACCCAAAATACATAAAAACAAATGGTCACTGTAAGAGGAATTATAACGTTTTGCATGTCACCCTCGGACGTCCAAAAAGTATGGCTTCGCAGAAAAACCACAATTAATGCTTTTGCCGGAAGAGTTTGCAAGTATGGATTTTTAGTTTATAGTTTTGAGAGCAGCTTCTTTCACAGCTTGAATTATGAGGATTTTGCATGTTCCTTCCAGTTTTGATCGTTTTGGGGCACTTCAGGGGACAAAATGGGCATTTTTGAAAATCAAAGATGGCGGATCCAATATGGCCGCGAAAAAGGTAATGTCATAGTATAGCAGCCTCATAGGTAGTTATAACACCTGAGTCAAACTAGTATCCAGCGTGTCATCTACAACTATCATTTAACAGTTTTTTCAAACAATTCATCTTTATTACTTTAGTTAATATCGACCCTCTAGTTCAAAGGGCTACTTTTCTACGTTACCATGGCAACAAACACCAGAATTCATCTAGTTTTGCTACAAAAGCCTCGAAAATCACTTGAAAAACAGTGGTACCATTCAATCATCTAAACGTGTCCCCCAAAATGGGTAAAAACAAAAGGAAAAACTTATGTATGTACATTTATTTGACATTGTAGAAAGCCGAGTGACGTCATTTCATCACGTGATAAACCCTATAAAACTACTCATTTGACGTGGTTATCATACATTAAAATAAACTAGAGGAGTCATAGTTTTTAAAAATGTAAGCCACTCTTTGTCCCTCTTTTTGGTACCAAATCATCAAATTTGAGGTCCTGGCCCATGGACTAAACAGCTTTTGCGCCTAACAAGTCTTCCTCTATCTTTTGGGTGGCAACCTTTCCGGTTGACAAGCATACCAGATCCTGCTGTTCAGCACTGAATGGGTTTATCCAGTTGCTTTCTAGCATAGCAATCAGCGACTTCACGTCAGCCTCGTCTCTTACAATTCTTGTTTTTTGAAGATCAGTATGCCCAGAATTGGATTTGCTTAGATTTAGCAGGTCCCTCAGCTGCTTCAAAAAAATACTGCGAAATTCAGACACTATATAATACTTGCTAACTGCTCCTGCTTTAAGACTGAAGCATTTGGTGCCCCCGGCTGTCTGGGTGTCCTTATTGACCGTCTCCTCGCATGTTTGATCAACTGGAACCCTACCAAAGGGGTTTTGGTCGCCGATCTGGACAGAGAATCCACCATACTTAAGAAATTCATGAGCCTCAGGATGGGTCTCTTCGAGGTGGGTCATCTCAGACAGGTATGCAGGTAAATAGCGGGCATAATTTACATTATCATAGGCAAAGCACCATGGTATCATTTGTTCAATGGCTGATAAATGTAGCTCTCAATGTCCTTCTCTTGATGCTCTCACTATATTCAGCAGAATGCCAACGAGATCAATGTATGACATCCAGAAACTAGATAGTTTCCCGTTGTTATTGCTTAGATAGTCAAGGTACATATCGTACAGTGTGATAAACTCTGGGAAACTTTGACTATCCAAGACCCTTTGTTGTTCCTTTTGGCACAGGTTGTCGTATAAAGGTTTTAATCCGGCAAAGAAATCTTGGATAAACGGTTTCTTCTCCGGGAACTTTACTTCTACCCACATCTGAAATCCTTTCCAGATAAGTCTTTGGAGTGCTTCATACATCAGTTTATGAAACCTGACAGCACGGTTGTATCTACGTCCTTCAAGAACTCCTGTCACAGAACCTTCAGCAATTACCCCTGATTCAATGCAAACGTCCCTTAAATCAGCGTCTTGGAATCTCTTCCCGATTATGGAAAGAAGTGTGCACACTGTATGGAAGACAACCATCCGAATAACAATATCTGAAAACTTGTCTGGATGTTTCCAAGCTATCTCTGTTGCCTTGGCATACAGAGCTTGATCAAATACGAGTACTATGTTCTTCAGTTCAAGAGCTTTTCTTATCTTTTGGGAGCGGACCAAAATCTCATGAACAGTTGACATGCTAGTGGCAGGTGCATCAATGGTGGGGAGGTATCCGATATTGTCTTGACGAGCCTCAATTTCGTTGCGCACCAAAATGTTATAGCCAGTCCATCCACTAACTTTCTGGTTCATCTGTGCATGTAGGCGCAGTAAAACCCACAAAAGGTTTTTTTTCGGGCATTTTCTAACGCTTCCTGGTCGTTTACTTCAACATATGCTCTTGGCTTAGGGCCTTGACGTTCACCTGCATTGTAAATGGGTAGCGCAACAACATCAAGTGGCTCAACACTCCTTTGCTTACTTTTACTGATTCCAGGTGGCTGCTCAGTGAGGGGATGGGGGCCAAAATGTCTCGCCTGTACTGCTCTGCGGTTTACACGGTGTGACGTGCCTTCACCTGAAAGAGTCTCTTCGAGTCGGTCAATATTATCCCATGCTAATGTGGTACTAACATGAGGTTGTATTTTGGCAGGTAGAGGAATTTCACTTGTTGTTGTTGCCATTTTCTGCATACAAAGAGCAGTGTTAATTTCCTCAAGCTGGGAATAAGAAATACCATGACCATAACGGTTTAGTATAGACACTAGCTCAACATTGTTTGTGAGAGTTTTTACAGCATACTAGAGAAGAATTTGTTTAGGCGGCTTAATCCTCCCTCTGGTTACTCCAAATACTAGGTCTTGCGCGAACGACTTCATCAACCGCTGGACTCTTTGACAACATTCTCCTTCTGACGAATCTTTGTTGCCAGTTAACAAGGTATACAAAAACGCACTTAGCTCTTCAGGGACCTCTATGGCGCTGTCATTGAGCTCTGAAGGGCGCGGTGGCCATGACATTTTGCTTTCTTCGTTTCGAATGGCATCGCGGATGTCAGCTGCAGCTTTCTGAATATTTGAGATCTTTGTTGTAGAGCCTTTGTCTTCTTTTTCTGCCATAAGGATATTTAGTACATTTCTGGCGATTTGCACTGGTGTTAGGCTAGCAGGGATTAGGAATACACGGTTGTTGTCTAGCAAGTTTTCAAACTTGATCAACTCATTGAATTCTGCTTCTATGTTCCTTTTGATATGCTTCTTTGTTGATGGCTTACATTCCTTAGCTTCTAATGACATTAGATACTGTACAAGTAACTGCGTCATCTCAGACAGCCTTACGACGTTCTCGTTTTCTATCACATCTGACCTGATGAAGTCAAAAAGCATCTGGTAAGCATCAGACTCTAGACGGGCATATTCATCATCCGGAGATTCACTGCTCATATTAGGGTTCACACTGCTGCTTGCTTCTGGTCTAGTGTAACTCCTGTAGCATGTCCTGTGATAACAAGCCTCTGCTGCAACTAATTCGCGCGACACAAGGGCAAGAATCTTGCTGTCATTCTTTTGTGTAGCTATCTTTCTGATAGAGCTATCTGCACGCATATCTCGGCATTGTACTAAAGGCTCACGATTCCTTGTACCCTTGAAATATTTTGGCTTTTCACTAAAAAATACAAACGCGCTCGTATGTTGTGGAAATATTGGAAGATCCTCGAATAGAGGCTCTCCTAGCCACTTTTTCCGGTTGAGTCTGGCTATTGGATGATTGTTGGGATAATTTATCTAATAACTTTTTCATTGTAAAAATGCTTCGACACTTTCGATGGTAGTAAATGAGCGGGACTTCTCCTTCGCTTAAAGACTTCGAAAGTTCTACGATTTCTTGATGATTTCGAATCTGTGCTGCTCGTAACAAGGTTTTCCACGACTCCTCGTCTTTAGGATTAACTAAATCACTGCTATCGTCGGTGCAGTGAATGATACACTTCTTCTTGCAGAATCGTTTGACTGCGGCATTTGACTCCTCAGCATCATCAACTCTTCTCTTAGATGAGGACCCTATTTGTATCAGACGAATATTTTTTCAGCGTTTAAGGTGATTCCATAGTAAAAGAACCTAACATAGATTTTAGCTAAAACTTGGTACACTGATGTAACAAGTCAAGAAGATGATAAAAAAGTAATAAAAAGTGGGGGTCACCGTGCTCGTTTTGACGTCACAATGCTGACAAATACGGCTATTTAGGACCCTTTTACAAAAACCGCCGGCAGCGCAAAACTAGACAAAAAGGAGAGATTTTTTCGATGATGCATGTAACATCACACAGAATTTGACTTTAATGTATTGTTTATCCACTTACGTACCAGAAAAATGCCTTTTAATGCCCCTATTTTTACTTTACGCTCCAAAGTAGAATTAAATTGGACGCGCGCTTTTCGACCCGTGATGGCTCAATCCGTACAATGTAGTAAAATTGCCAAAAAACTGATCATAGATTTGTGCCAATTTTTTTCTCATCGAAAGGAAGCAATGTCCTTATTAAAATCGTGAAATAAAAAATGGGGGTCACCGTACTAGTTTTTGCGGTAGAGCTGCAGAAAGTGCGCACCAAACGCATTTTCTCCGATTTTTGAGAGCGGACTGGGGCGAGTTTCAAAATAGAATGTATGTGAAAGGGGGGAGAAAGTATTAAAAAATCCGTTTTTACTGAAATTAACTTCGAGATATCACATTTAGGACACAATGTGATAAAGAAAGTGTTTAAATGAAAATCAAAGTGAGTAAGCACAAGTTAAACATCCACTATCGAGGTTCTCCGAGAGGAGGTCGAACTCAGCAACACGAGTACTGCTTACGTTATGCACATTCCCAACACATTGAGTCTCACCTCGGCAAGAAACAACAGCAAGCAAAAATTCTAACAGCGTTTCTCTTCAGTCAACTTCATTTTAATAATATTACTTCACATGCTCTTTCTTACGGCGGCCATCTTGTTATGCGCAGTAAGAGATGCGCAATGCAAAACCAGGGAATCACCTTAAGTTGCAATGCAACTGCAACTGAGACGGGGACATAACAGCAGATACGTTATATTATAATTTACGAAACTCTGGACTTCCAAAAGTTTTTTTTCACCATAGCGGTGCCACGATTTGGAATGAGTTACCACAAAAACATACAAAGAATAACATCGCTAAGTCAATTCAAAATGGAAATAAACCTGTTAGCTCTCTAGTTTTCTGATTCCAGGCACACGGTAATCATGTAAGCCATTCAGGTATGTGTAGTCTTTATATCCTTTTTACTTCACTTAACTTTTTAGACTCATGATTTTAGCGTGTTTAAAGAAACCATATGCACGTATGCATTAAAAATTGCATATCATATGGAATTTTCATTACCGAATAACCGATAATTCAAATAATGTTGACTGCAACAGGTTGATTCCTAAAATTAGATTATATTTCAAAATTGATAAAGATATAAAAAGATGTGTATGATCGATATGAGCAAAAATTATACATTCAAATTCTATCGGATTATCGAAGAGAACATTCTACAAGATCTGTAAGTATTTCCTAAATTCTGCTTATTAAGTCAAAACTTCAAAGACTTTTGCCTCAAAAAGTTAAAGCGCTTTATTAACTAGATGATTTTGCTGACTTTTCGTGAAATTATTACGTTTTACACGGTAAAATGGCTATTAATCCGGCAAATCAAGAACCCACTCACCTTCCATGGTAGCTGCCATTTTGGATTTTACCCATAATGCTATTCGAAGGCTACTTTTGAGTTTTCCTCGCTCTACTTTGGTTAAATTCAGAACAATTAATACTTTGGCGATAAAAAACGGAACAAAAAAACTTGTCATGTCTCTCATAATAAATTAAACTACAAAACATAGGGAACATATTAAGTGCACATTTAGTTGTCCAGGCTGGCATCTCAAAGGTCATTTCCGGCACTTTTACACGAAAAAAATACCCCGAAAGCTACTCCTACAGAAAGGTTATCATACAAATTTTCAATCTCCACCTTATGTGCTATCAATTCGCAGCAATCATCCTTTGTCCTTCGGGTTGGTACCAAAATCACGATTGGCCCATGGACTAAATACGTCTTGAGACATCTGTTTAAACGGACCTGATGTTCGACTTTCCTTGATGAACTTTGCTGTCTTATGTTTGAAATATTCTTCATTTGTATCGTCCCAGATTATAGGACTTGCTTCTGGCCAGATCTTGAAGCCCTCATATCCTCCTGATAAGAGAAAAAAGATTGTGAATAGCACATTCCAAAATACGAGATGTTCTGAAACCGAGTGAAACTTGGTTTATGTCACGGAGCTTCCAGTTTCCCACCATTCCATTTAAGCTAAAAATTTACCACCCAATTTGTGCTGAAACTGCAACATACCTAAAAGATTATTTGCAAAAACACTGTGCCTCTAACAACTACTTGCTTTAACATTCCTTCAATCTTAGCAACCTTCAGCCGCCTTGGCTCCCAAATATCTCTGAATTTGCGCACCATAGTCTCAACAGGACAAGCTAAAGATACACATGCGTCACTTGCAAAACTTTTATGCCACTTAATTCATTATCAGGTATCCCCTGCGTGCTCAGCGAAAATTATTTCCAACCTTAATATATACACTTAGCACACTTCTAAAGTAAAGTTTCTGAGCGTGCAATCACTTGAATACCTTAACTGTCCAGCAGAACTAACCCTAACTCAATGAGTAACACACCTCAGCCCCGCGGTACAGTCATGTGACACTGGTGAGCGGGTACCCTATTTCATTTGATCATAACATGAATGTCCAATATCAAGGTAAACACAATTTGTATACGCCTTGGACTTTAAAGGTAGTAAGACATTTCTCGTCCGTTATAATGAAGGGGCGGACGTACAGACGGACGCGGGAGCTCCGCTAAAATGAAATCAATTATGATGTATTTAAACTTTTGCTAACGCGGGGAGTTCTTACTTTGTTTTCTATGAGGCTTGTACGTACTCTTTGTCCCTTCACGCGTAAATAAAACGTTTTCAACTCGTTTATCTATTCCTTAATACTGAATTAAAGACGAAACTAATATGGCAAAAACTCTCAGTGCTGAACTTAAAGGGAACAGAACAAGTTTGAGTAAAATGTATGTCACAACTTAACCCACCGTCTCCAGTTTCTTCTCCAGGAAGTATTTCATTTTTCACCGCAATTCGCACAAAGTTTGTCCCTACCGTACGGGTCATTCCAGCCAAATAGTTATTCACAAGTCCCGCCACACCATTACCAAACACAACAAGCTGCACGCTTTTGTCATACCAACGGTTTACGAAGTTTCCCGAATGTAGCTCGAACATGGCTTCGTTAGCTTTTCGGGGAGAAGTATCAGGGTCGAGCGCCACAACGAAAAGAGCGCCACGGAGCAGTGAAAGATTATCAACATTTCGTTGACTAAGGCACTTGAGACGCTGTTCTTCTTGACATCTCTCAGATGGAATCAGGGTTGTGAGAAAAGCTATTGGAGTCGATGGTTCTCTTAACGCAACCATTTCTACGATGGTTTCGAGTTTCTTCTGGAAGCAAATATAAAAGTGTGTCAGTATAGCAAGCGCGCACGTAAAGAAAGGAAGTAATTGTCAATTACATTTGCTCGATGTTTTTTTGCCTTATCTGATTGCTACAGAAACTTCTTCTTTAAAAACACGCTTTCGATTGACCTGCGCGAATCCAAACCTCTAATCCATCCCTATTGTTTTCCCTATTGCAATTTTTTTTAAATATATCTCTTTCATCGTCTTGAAAAAGCAAAGTCAAAAAATAAAATAAACCATCATTATGAATGATATGGATTCATCCCCCTGAATTGGGTGTCAATTTACAAAGCAGTTGAAAAATGGGAAGAGATTACTCTAAATTGACTCAGTTTGTAAACATTTTTTGTTCAGCTTTTTAAAATCAATTAGCTATTAAACCCCAGGCAGCTTAGTTTAAGAGTAATTATTCTTGATTGTTAAACTTGAATTATTCTATCCTCCTATACGTTTGGCAGTGGGTATTTTTTAAACTTACTGTGCAGCAAAGTTCCAACTTTTATCAACTTACTTTCAGCTGGCTTTTTGCGATAATCTCTTCTCGTCCTTCGTCGTCGTTGTGAATCAAATCCAGTTTATACATATTACCTCGTATCATTACAATAATGTGTCTCGAATGGATTTCAGGAGCTTTGTAGCGCTCAATGGATCCTGGGAAGAATTGCATAGAACAGGAAAAGACATAGTTATACCACTGCATCGACAGTGCTGTTGTTTTCATCACATCTTGGGTAAATTCAGTGCTTCTATACAAATCTCTGGCTTTCATGAGTCCGTCTATTAGAGAACTAGCTCGTTCAATCATAATGTCTCCGCAATCTTTCATAGAAACTGCTTGTGAACTGATGTCCTCACCAATGCCCCCATCTACGGATGTCCCAGGATGCTTTGGGCTCCCTCGGATAAGCACTGCATATGACGTCACAGGTTGTGAAGGGATGATGTCCTCGTGGAAGTATATTTCATCATGGCAAATTCCAAATGTGTCTCCATGATTTGAGGGAGCATACCAGCAGTTGTTTATGGGGTCATCGCAGTGCCTTTTGTGTAGTCTGAAAAAATCCAATGACAACTGTTTTAGAGTAGTGTTTTTTGTTTGTCTGTTTGTTTGTTTGTTTGTTTGTTTGTTTCGGTTTCCGAGATAATTACCCACCGAGCCAATGCTGCTCTTCAAATGTACCAAGAAAAGGATTGGGGTTGGGTTAAAGAATTAAGAGTAGGATACAGTTAGATGCTGCAAGTAGTTTTGCGTTTACACTGCGTTGAGTGCTCCATTGCAACGCTTTGATATCTATTAATTGTATAAACGATAATCATTAATAATGTTTATACAGTCTTAAAAGTATACAACATAAAGGGCAAATGGTAGAGTCGGTTGTATCCCATAAACACTATCTAACCAGCGCTTTATCAAGGGTGTTTGAGGGTTAGAAGCTTCCCTCCAAAAAAATGCACAGCTTCCCCCGAAAAATTATATTGTTATCATTACAGTTTATAAGTAACTATAACGGAAAAATCATCCACACGCGACAAGGTCAGTGCACTCACTGTGACATTTCTCAAAATGCACCAGATTGCATCTTAGCGCATATTCATTTCATGCCCCCGGACCCCCCTAGGAACCTCGTAGTCTTCGACCACTCGGGACTTCTCTCCAAAACGATAAACCCTAGATAGAACCCTGCTAACGGTTGGTGTGTGGAATAGACCGTCAAAATTAACACAAAGAAGACAACAAAATAGTGTCTGATAGAGCCCACTATAAACTATTTCAAGGATTTGTAAGTAAAACCATTCTATCATTCTATTATGGTAGAGTGAGCAAGACCTTTCCTTTTAACGAATCACTTTAAATATGTAGTTGTGTTTTTTTATTATTTACTTTTTTGTTTATTTACTATCGATGTAATTCTACTTACTTTACTCATGTTCTCACATGTAATTTAATCAGTTATTGTGAAGTGCTTTTGATCTATTTCGAAAAAGCGCTATAATGAATTGACATTTAGTTCGGTCCTGAAATAAGTGTCTTATATTTTCTTCTAAAACCAACCTCTGTTAGGTGGACACTTCTATTAAGCGGAATTTCCCATTTATTTTTGTAACCCTACATGTAACACTAAATGGACTAACTACAGCTTGTATCAGCCTGGAGAGAAAGAAGTGCTTGAGGTACATGTATCATTTTCTGTTCCATACTTGTATAGGCTTACCTCATGAAATGCTCATTTTTGGTGATATTTTAATAAATATGAAGACTGAAAACCGAAGAAAAAAAACAACCTCAACCCATTCGCCCCTGAGCCGCCCTGAACCGCCCATGCGGATCCACTTCGTTTCTACCGCTTGTGACGTTATCAGTTTTAATGGTCAAGGATAAATTATATGTCCGCTAACTTGTGCAGAGTGGAGAGATCTTTTAAACCATACCAACCATAAACCACACCAATTCAGTCAAGGACACCAAAGAAAAGGCAAAAAATCATGTAACAGTGACCCGAAAATTGCCATGAAAATTTTGTTCCACTACCCACCTACCTTTCCTTTACTCTAATCCTAAGATACTAAAAACTTTCCTAAAACCTCTCCCACCGAAATGAAGCCTACTAAATGCCCACCAAGAGAAAAAAAGGGCCAGAAAAACGAAAAAAGAGAGGGGGGGGGGGGTCAGGAAAAACGAAAAGTAAACGTCGAGACTGCTGTGTCACTTTTAAACCCTGCGCGTGCCCGAACTTCGCAAGCTGATATTTTGCATCTGGATCAGAAGGTTGTGAAGTGTACAACCTGTAAACGGCTTTGTTGTACGTTTTATTTAGCTCTTTATAGCACGAAAATGACCAGAAAACCCCTCTACTAGCTTCAAAACGCCGCGTTTCAGCAAATCTCCAGGGGCGAATGGGTCAAGGTGCTAAAAAAAAATCCTGGCACAGCCCAAAGACGAAAAAAAAATTCTTAGCTAGACAAAATTGGCTAACCCTCCCTCCACCCCCTCTCAAAAATGGTCCACCCCTATGCAGTGTTATGTATTATTTTTCACTTGTTCTCGCTCTTTCACACCTTTTGTGGGCATCACGCAGTCCTAAAACCCGACAGGCTGAATGCACAAAAAGATTGTTCAAACCATTCTGGACCCTTGTCGCGCAGGAAGGCAATCTCCGCCTAACCAAATGCTCCACCAATCTCCTTAGTGGGGGAGGTTCGGGAATTGGCAACTTTTCATCCCACTGGAGTACTCTAGTTTGCAAGAGTTGTAAGGTCGAAAGAGTTCTGCAAAATATCGATGAGAACGTCAAGTTCTAGCCGACCTGACATGGTATAAAAATAGAAGTGAACAACGTGTTGTTTAAATTGTCAGGTTTTTTTAAACCAAGAGTTTAAACCTATTTCAGATAACAAACTATGCTACAATTTCTGTCAAAAAATCCTTTTCCTGACGGTTCATAACTTTTAAAATTAAGTTTGGAGTTTCGCAATTAAAGGGAGATGAAGAGGTCATTGCGTATGGAAGAGAAAAAAATATTGCACTTCAATCCCGATTGTTGTTTGACAACAAAAAATTAAAGTAAGGTAATCGCTCACCTGCGCACATCTTGATTCTTCTACAATCTTTTTCTCGGATGCATATAACAACAACATAAGCTTTATTACCAAATAAAAGTTAACTTAATTTACAATATAATATATTAATACAAAAAAAGGTAACATTTACTCAGAATAACTAAAAAGCTAATCGAGCTGAGTAAAGCTAAATAATGTTCAGGCATAGGAGGTAGGTTGGCACTAAAGCTAGAAAAAACAAGGAATTAGTAAATAGATAAAAGGAAAAAAAATGAAAAAGGAAAAAAAAAAAAGACTCACGAACAGTAAGACTGTAAGATGTTTGACATGACTTTGTTTTTAAAGGATTTAAGGGGGAGGTGTTTAATGCTTTCATCAAGGTTATTCCAAACTTTTACAGCCGCGAAGCGAAAGTTGAATTTACCATAGTTTGTTTTGATAGTATTGAGGTAATAGGTTGATTTAGAAGCAAGCCTGGTATTGTATGAGTGTATGGATGCTACCGTTCTAAAGAAATTTTCAAAGGAAGATGGAAGAAGATTATGGTGATAGTTATATTTACATGAGGAAGGCATTATGAAGGGTAACAAGATCAGTTAATTTAAGAATGTTTAATTTCTTAAAAAGAGGCTCAGAGTGATCACCTGGTTCCGAAAAAGTTATAATACGTGTTGCTTTCTTTTGAAGAATTATCAAAGGTCTGAGAGTAGAACTATAAGTATTGCCCCAAATTGATAAACCGTAGGTGAGGAAGGGGTAAATAAGTGAATAATATAATTGAAGTAATATGTTTCCGTTTATGAGTTATTTTGTTTTTGTCGCTGTGAACAGAAGTGGAGAACAGAAATTCTTGTCCTGTAATGCGCTCCTACAAAGGCGATGACGCCACAAGCGATACATCGTTATAGAGACTCTCTAGCATTACCCTCTCGCTTCTTTAGTTTTTCTGTTTTAAAAATAGCAATGATATTTCGTGGAAAAGAAAAGTGGCAAGCGAAGCGGAACTAGGATTTTGTATGATCTAATCGATCACGGCATTCCCTTTTTTACATTAGATGCGCTTTGAGTGGGCTGGGCTGCTGACGTCAAAGTGGAATCAAGCAATGTGTCATAATCCAAATTTTGTTCCTTTTTTCGGGGAAAAGAATTGTCAAATTTGTGTAAACGGAAGTGCAGACTAGTCACGCGCTCTGCAAAGATCTGGTAATATTTGAATCTATTTTTACTCACGTTTCAAATCAAAGCATATTCATGTCATCTCGACTTTTTAGGGAAAAGTATAATCATCTAGAGGCGTCTTGACGCTCCCTATCGTACCGTTGCTGGGGACATTTCGCTGACGTGTAAAATAACTCATTCCTAAACCAGCCGTGAGCAAATAGAGCTTTCATGATGCCTCTAAGCAAGACGAACATAGCCGTGGTTTTTCTCGTAGGTTTCGTCAATTATGTGGAATGGGCCATTGTAATAACTTCAATATACCCGTATATTCTTTTGGTAAGTAGTCAATGACATTTCTACGTTTGTAAAAATAATTACAAATGCAACTGAATTGTGGAGGATCAATATTGTAAATGAAATGGATTAATTAATAGCGATCAGAAACCGGAAGCTGTTTCACGCGCTTAAAATCACGCTTTCTTTTGGACAGGTCAGTTGCAGTTAATTCAATTTTGCCTTGAGAAAATTTGAAATAAATAGAAAATAAGATCATTAAGATAATTAGGCGCTGTCAAAGACGGTCGTTTCTTTTATCGCTCCGTCGTTTTCGATGTAAACTCCGCTTATAACCATGGAGCGCACTTAATTTTTTACCGAATGGCAGCCAAAACTGACTCGCTTGGGAAGAATGACGTTTCCTCTAGAAGAAGAGCAAAAAAAAAACGGGAAAAAGGTTCTCAAACTGACGACGACCTCGAGGAGCTTCCCGACCACAAGGGTGACGCCACGCTGAAAGCCCTTGACGATATCAGGAATAAGTTAGAAAGCTTACTTCTTCTCAAACCAGCTGTTGATGACCTAAAATCAGTAATTGCTAAACTCACAGAGGAAAACAAGCAACTAATGGAAAGTTTGAATTCTGCAACTAAGGAAATTCAAGAAATTAAAAATGCTCTCGCGGCGACTGAAAAGGTGACTGCTTCGCTTCGCAAAGAAAATGATCAGTTGAAGGCTGAAGTCGACAAATTAGTATGTCGCAACATACGTCTTGAAGCTCAGTCAAGAAGAAGCAACTTCAGAGTTTACGGTGTCAGAGATTCTCCACATGAAACTCCAGCAGAAACCGAGCAAGTGTTGAGAAACGTCCTGATACAACAGCTTCAAATACCTGAAGAAGACGTAAACAATATGAGCTTCGAAAGAGTTCATCGAATTTCTAACACCCGAGCTGTTAATCAAACCAACAAATCTAAGAGTCCGCGCCCAATAATCGCCAAAGCCAGCTTTTATCAAGACAAGGAGCAAATTTTTTCATACGCTAGAAGCTTACCAAAAGGCTCA